CCCCAAAACCCCAAAACCCCAAAACCCCAAAACCCCAAATCTCCAAAACGAAGGTAAAAGATTACTTTATAATATTAAATATGGGTTGTCAAGGATCGACTAATAATAAAGAGAATAGGATTCTTAAGATAAGAAAGAACCCGAAGTTTAAAACTAAGTGTGAGATTGAAGTGTTCCAGTCTTCTCACACTCTTACAATCGATGAGACTTCCAATGGAGTTGTCTGTCAAACCAAAGAAGGTAAAACTTTCTTGCCTGGCCAGAAGAAGGATTACAAAATAGTCACAGAATACGGCACCTCCAAAGTGTTTATTCAAAGCGAAGCAGCTGAGCCAATGGTCAGAGAAATCCAGGCTAAGATTCAAGAAAAAGAGAAAACCAAATAAAGAAACAGAACTCAAAATGAAATCAGAAGAGGTATTTGATCCTAAGAAAGAAGTGATTATCAAAGATATTCAGAAAGTGATCAGTGACTACAGGAGGGTGCTTGAGATTTTGATTAATGAAGACTGAGAAGTCAATGAAGATAAGGATTTAATTAATCAAGTAAATAAAAATAAGACAACACAAGAAAGTATGCCTACTAACAGGAAGAAAAATTACATAATAAATCAAAATGAAGAACAGAAAAATGATTCGTCTCAAAACACCGAAGAACCTAAAAGTAAATTTTCTACTTATCTGAATATCACAAAAATTAGATCTTCATCCATATAAAAATTACTATCATCCCAAAAATATCCCAACCCTCACTAAACACCACAAACTCGCTTAACCCTCCCCTCACCTCCCCATACAACCCCAAATTCCCCATAAAAAACTACCTAAAAATCGCCCAAGTCAACTTCCTCTTCACCCAAAACCTCTTCTAACCCCTTTTCCTCCTCTAATAATCCTTCCTAAGCTCCTACTGATCCTGCCCACTTCTTTCATGCGTCCCGTACCTATACTTCTTCTGTGTGAAGGGCTTCTTTTGGATATGAAGTTTTGTTCTGTGATAAGTTGGAGTGGTCTTATCAAACAATCCAACTTTTACCTCTCATTAACACCCAATTAGCCTCTAAAACCGCTTACTCAACCTAAAATCATTCCTCTTCCATCTTCTCCTGATTCCTCATTTCTCTTTACTCAACAACCCACTTCTTGTACTAATCCTTACCATTTTTAGCTGAATCCGTACCTGCAGTATCTTTGAAGAACCTAGCAAACTGGCTTAGCAAGTATAATGAAGAGCATTCGAAGAGGTTATTGAGAGAGCAGTGGTTGAACCTATGGGGTCATATGAAAGGTTGCGATTACTTTAAATTTTTTAAGAGGTTTCTTGATTTCTTGGATGGCTCCAGATGATTGAGGGTACCAGATTTAAAGATTATGTGGGTTGCTATACATCTGAAGATACTCCCTTTGTTCAAGATATTTTGAGCAAAGCATCTTCCTAATAAAGTTGATTGATTTTCACTATCATGTGGGAAAAAAGAAATTGATCCAAAGAGTAAGTTTATGTCTTACAATATACTTTATATAAGCATTCAAAATTTTTAATTATACATACTGCATAGTGCTTAAAAATGCATATTTTTACCTCTACTTGTGTTTCTTCCCCCATAATCCATTACTCCATCCATCAAAATACACCCCTGAAACACTCAATTCCCCCCAAAATCCTCTCCCAAAGACCCTTGAACAATTTTATTTATGTGCACAAGAACGGGTTCTTCCAAGTGTAATTATATGGGAGAAGCTAAGCTTTCGAGGCTGAGAAAGGAGGGGTGGAGATAGGGGTTAGAGAGGGTTGGGGGTTATTGACAGGTAGGGGTGGGATTGAGGAAGATTGGGTGAGTTTTGGAGAGAGAGATAGATGAGAAATGAGGTGTTTTAGGTATTTTTATGTAGATTTGATTGGAAGTGTTGAGATTGAATGGTTTAGTTATTTGTATTAAAAATTAGTGTAATATAGAATCTTTGAGATACAATATTTGATGTGCTGGAAATATTCATTTGAATAGTAATGATGGCATATTCAGAAAACTAGAAAGAAATTTCGAAATGATCTTTATTGAACCTTTTAATGAATTAATATTTTTGATAATAGAAGATTATAGATAAAGAAAACAATAATTGGTGATTAACATAAAATTTGAAATTTTATCATTCTTTAATCAGCCCTTAATTGATTATTAACTAAAAAAATTGTAGAAGTATATCAATGTAAAGCTACTTTATACAAGTATGAATTGAATCATCTGTAAAATGTTATAGGGACAATAGTTTCATTTTCTTAATAATTTTGCTATAATATAAAAAACAGTAAATTTACTAATTTTTCAAAACATATCTCATAACCCTACTTCTTGGGATATTGTTACATATCCATTTTATATTACATCAAATTTTTATCTGCTTACAAACAATCTCCAAAGTCTTCTAAAATCACTCTCAACACTAATATAATCCTCTTACTCTAAACCTCATCATAACTCCATACATAAATCTAACCCTCCGAATAAAATACCAAAAAGTAACATTCAACACCATACCATCTTTTACCTGTCATCTTAGCATTTCTATCCTCAAACCTTCAATTAAGCACATTCAGTGCCTTAGATACCCACTTCGGAAGCTCTAGGCTAAGGTTGAGGGGGTTAGGTATTTTTGAAGGTTAAGAGACTGGGATAAGGGGGTTTGGCTTATGATAACTCTGTTGGATATTAGTAGGCTTCTAGGGGTGGATTTTATTGAGCTGTTTAGGAGATTTTATTATGGGATAGAGAATGTGTGGGGAGAAAGATAGGATTTTAGAGTATTTGTTATGATTTACTTATTTTTATGTTAGTTTAGCAGTTAGGTTCACTCACCGTGTATATAGAGAATGACATCAAACCTTTCCTTCCATCTATTCTGTTGATTAAGAAGTGATCGCTGATGGAACTTCAATTAGGAAAGTTTGTGATTTCAAAAGAGGACCTTAAGAAAATTTTAGAAGGTTTTGCATATTTATAGATTCAGGAAGAAAGTAAGCAAAAATATTTCCAAATATGAATTTCAGATTTGGTCTGAATAATATAAAACTAAGATGAATACTTCAATACCAATTTTTACTTCTCCCTAATCTTTTCTTTAGTTTACAGAAGATCAGTTTGTTCACTTGTGCCTTTGAAGCCAAGGACCTTGTCCTCTCAATTACATCTCCATCTCTAGCTCACATCTTCATTAAGAGCTTAGGTTCTGACAAGTGTGACCACTGGGGAGACCAACTTGGACAATTTGAAGGGTTAGTGAAAGCAGTGGCTGAATCAAAACTGAGGAAGACTGTACAGACGTGGGAGCTTATGAAGCCTGAGGCGGAGATAATCGATGGTATAAAATCTACCTCATCTGTCCATTCTCCGTCGGTAACTCTGATAATCGACGACTCTCCTATTAATCTTACCTCCTCGAAGTAAACTTTTTGAGGTAAGCTAGGTGACACTTCTTCAGCAGAAAAGAAGGCGTAAAGAAGTAAAACTTTAAGTTATGTTTTAAGTACATGGACACATTATTTTTAGTAATGGGAATTGGGACTGGTTCAGGATGAACAAAAAGTAGGAATTTGATAGTGAACAATTTAGCAAATTATTAAAATTTAAAATACTATCTTAAGCTAGTTTATCTATATTTAACAATAATATCAATTTATCTGACACAAAACGGGGTTTTGGGGTTTTGGGGTTTTGGGGTTTTGGGG